GTTTATATACATTTAAATTCTGAGAAAAGTAAAAACTAATATGTGTAATATAGGTTTAGCTTGCCTAATTTAATGAATTATAAAACCAATGGGGCTCCCTCATTTTATTGCAAAGTCAGCATGGTAATCAGCCTCCGCATGTAAAGTATATCCAGCGATTTTGTGTTGACATTTGTTTTAATCTATGCAGTTGTTAGTGGAAGTCATGTAGTGACACATGTTTCTCACATATAAATCAAGTCCATGACTAGAAAAATGGATGAGAATTACTGTGTTTATAATAATGTTCCTTGAAGCGATACCTTACTGCTTTGATTAATGGCTATACTAAGATATAGTTTATTTATGGCTGTGCTATGCAGTTCATATCATTTTCCTTTAAAAATTCAATACTGTCATGTATAATTTGCCAAAAGGAACTGTCACAAAAAATTAATATCTCGTATTAATTTAATTAAAATGTCATTTGGAAACTTGTACATATTTTTCTTTGAGACACAGTAAGTGTTCCTAAAATATTAATTGCTACGCAACCAATTTTGTAATTAAAACATTTGTCCATTTAGAATTGGTGTTTAATTTCGAAGACTAGTCTACTTGGTCTGAGTTTCTTGGGAATTCCAACAGGTAGGTCACTCCCATGATACATCACCTTTCAGTCTTAACAGATTAGTAAAAATTTGTGGGACAGAGCTCCTTACAAACAGTGATGCCCTTTTCTATGTCCCTTCCCCATTAATTTTCTTTTCTGCAAACTCTCTAGAGTAACTCAACTCATCATGTTGCGTCCTGTTTATTATATACAGTTTATTGCATTTAATATCTAAGGAGGGTCCGCTCTCAGACATAATGGCATAAAAACACCCATAATATTGAGAAATGATGATATACTTCACAACCAAGATCAGATCAAATGGGATCATTACCCTTCCCCATTTTTACCAGAACTTGTGTTTGTTGGCACTCATTTCTTGATTTACATGTCCTGGTGATTAAACACCTGGCAATTACCCTAAGGCTACTATCACACTGATCCGCCGCACAAACACCTCAAAAACGCATAGGCGGTTTTACCACGTTTTTTAAAGGACGCATGATTTAAAACTGTACCAAAAATGCTTCTCAGAGGCGTTTTTCAGGTGTTTTCCATTGATTTCAATGGGTAGAGGCGTTTTTGGGGCGTTTTTTTTTTTCAACTCCCCAAACATGCCCCAAAGATGCTGCAAGCAGGAGTATTTACACTGCACCGCAAGCGCAACGCCTCAGTGTGAAAACATACATAGATATACATAGGGAAGCTGTTTTCTTGAGCTTTTCAGGCACTTTTTTTAATGCAAAAACACTTGAAAAACTCCTCATTGTGAAAGTAGCCTGATGAGAAAGAATATTTACATCCAAGGAGTAGCAATGAGGTTTAAACCTATGGGCTCACTCAATTTGTAGATGATTACCTTGTGTTCATGTCTCAGGCTCTTTATAGAGTTTTAAAAATCTTTACATATCCAATCCCTGTTAAAAGTAATGGCAAAAAGGACACCTAGATAGTTTAATGTTAGATATCTGTAGCAAGTTGCAGTGGTACTGGAGTTTGCTGCAGTCTATAGTTTTAATAGTTTGTTTTTTTTTATTATAATACACTTCACTACTGATTTGTAGCAACTTCCTTGTGGCATGTTTTAAAGACAGCTGTCCTAATGACAGCTTTTCATTAGTTTATGGACTGATATATGAAAGAATCTGGATTAAAAGATCAGTATTCTTAGTAGGCTAAGAATGTAAGAGTAAGTGATGATACATACAGAATGTAACACATGGAGAACATCAACTTTAAGCTAGGTTCACACCTATGCAATTTCCGTTGCGTTTTGCAGAAATGCACAGCAGTCTATTTAACATGATTTCCTATAGAACAGGTTCACATCTCCACGTTTTCACCCAGTGTGTTTTTTGGAAAGGGTCCGAGACTTTTTAAAACGCAAAACTTTGCTTTTTTGGTTTTATAGACTTCAATGGAGATGCTGCTGAAAAGCATGTAGTGCATTTTTGATGCGTTTTTTAACACGTTTTTGATGCGTTTTGTGTTTTAATCTGCCCAGCAACAAGTTAAAAAAAACGCAAAATGCTGCAAAAACGTACCCCAAAAAGCACTGCAGAACTGGATCAAATGCAAGCTGCATAGGTGTGAACCTATAGTTGCTAACCAATAGAAATGACAAGTATACCCACACTGCATAGTTTTCAAATGTTCCTGATTTCCAGGTTTGAGGGATCTGCCTCTGGAAAAATCCTTGTTTTTCACTACTAACCAACTGAACCATAAATGGCAAATTTAAAGATTGAAATCTATCACCTTTTAATGCTATTTTTTGCCAATCAGAATGTCACACTTTTCTTTGACGTGTTTTTGTTCTCAGTTCAGCAGTGGGTTAGGAAACCTCTTATTATATAGAAAGTATTATGCTCTATTGTGACCAAATGTGCACTACGACTTTGATCTGTTTTACTAAAAAATGTGGTGGAAGATACTGTATATGGGAATAGAGATACGCCAAATCTTATATTACTAAGGTGGAAAATTCACTAGACTAGCCTTTAACCTCGGTCTAATTAAAACTTATGTATCAAAAGGCTCAATTCACAGAGCTTTAACACAAGGATAAGTATCTTTTTTTTTCAGCCATTGACTGTAATTTTTATATTTCACTTGTTCCCAGCTGAGTATACCAGTAGCTTTTTTTTAAATAACAGCTGAATGCAGCTGGGGATTGATTGGGGATTGGGGATTGAAGCTGTCACATTTATGACAGTATCCCAGCACAGAAATGCCCCACTGTGAGCTGTATGCTAGCTCAGAGATGGTCTTAATTACTGACAGTTTTCTAATCTGCAAATTGGCTGTAATTTCTTATTAATCTGTTGTTGCCACAGTGACAGGTTCCTAGGGCTCATTTACACTTGCTTCAACATGATTTTTTTATGTTTTGATGCTTCGGTGATGCTTCAGTGATGCTTTTTTGAAGTTTTAATGAAGCTTGGCAAATGCTATGTGTGTGTGTTGACTTCTATTTGTTTTAAAGGGGCCCAGTAGAACCCAGCTCAGTAGCTCCCTCAGTCTGCAGATCCCCAGCTCATTAGTACCCCTGTTCAGCAGATCCCCAGCTCATTGGTACCTTCATTCACCAGATCCCCAGCTTATTAGTACCCTTGTTCAGCAAATCACCTGCTCAGTAGTACTTCCAGCTCTGCTGATGCCCCATTCAGTAGAAACCTTCAGCTTTGCTGATCCCCCACTCAGTGATAACCCCCAGCTCTGATTATCCTCTGGTCTGCTGTTCCTCCTCTCTCTCTGGTCTCACCTCCCACTATATTGCTCCCACGCTGCGCAGCTTGTGTGACATTGCTAGTTTCTCTTCTGCTCCGGTCCCCCAGCTCTGCTGATCCTCTGCCACTCACTCCTCTCTCTCCAGTCCCCGCTCACCTTCTATTATAGTGTTCCCAATTTTCACACCATGTGTGCAGTGTGTTCTGCTCTGCTCGAACCCGCTCACTTTCCTGCTACTTCACGTTACACACCAGATTTAAGTGTGCACCAGACACTCCCAGAATATATACACATGATCCAGAAGTGACTGCTGATAACGCCTTTCTGAGAGCCAGCTGTTGTCGTACAATATAGGAAACACTCTAAATCTCACTGAAAGCCTTCCCAGAAGAATGGGGGCTGTTATAATCATAAAGCATGGGGGGGGGGGGGGTTTAGTGGCAGCATGCCTATGATTTGGAATGGATGTCTAAAAAGCTCATCTGGGTATTATTGTCAGGTGTTCACAAACCTTTAACTATATAGTGTATGAGCTAGAAATACTATATGTTACGTTGCTTCTGAAAACATAACTTGTTATCTAGTGAAAAGAATACACAGACAGAATAGCCTTTTTATATAATATACTGTATATATAATACTGTATATATAAATATTGCGTTTATTTCCAATAAATACATTTCCTTAGTGGTACACTTATTTGAAATTAAAAGTCAATCAGTGACTCTATTAACTTTAAATCTGGATGGAAAGGTTCGCTTTTGGGTCTTACCGTGCTTCCTGGGATATCTCAGACCTGCAATATCTCCAAAACAAAGCAATGCTAAATCTGAATAAAAGCCTCTCCAAAGCTGCAGGTGCTGCAGGCAAGCTTTGTCATAGACTTCTAGGGAGGCTTCGGAGATGCTTTGACGCACCAAGCAAGCGACATGGGGTATAACTTTTGAAGCAAAGCAAAAGCTACATATAAACAGGACTGTAAACTTACCATTTTATTTAGGGGCTTTGATTGGCATTCAGAGCACTTCAAAAAAGCGTGTCCAAAATTACATTTTGAAGCACATGTAAACAAGCCCTTAACCTCTTCCCTGCCACGCTATAGCCAAAAGATAGCTACAGTGCAGTTGTCTAGTTCTGGGAGGATGTCCATGGACGTCATTCCAGAACACGCCCCCTGTGTGCTCCCATCGGTGTGCACCCGGCACTGCTGGTGATCGCTGTGTCCTATAGACACAGCTGATCACGTGATACGATAAATGGCCAATCACAGTGGCCTTTTACAACGTGATCAGCTGTGTCCAATGACACAGCAGATCACCGGGTAAATACAGTTGCCGGTTTTCGGCTGCACTTTCCTTTAGGCTGTCACAGCGTGAGGAAAGTACTGCTGATAACCGGCAATTGTCAGAGAAGTGATCGGCACTGATCATCAGGGCACTGATGATCAGTGCCCAGCAGTGCCACCCGCCTGTGCCACCTACCTGTGCCCATCAGTGCCGCTTACCTGTACCCATCAGTGCCACCCACCTGTGCCCATCAGTGCTACCTACCTGTGACCAGCAGTGCCACCCACCTGTGCCCAGCAGTGCCTAGCAGTGCCACCCACCTGTGCCCAGCAGTGCCACCCACCTGTGCCCAGCAGTGCCTAGCAGTGCCACCCACCTGTGCCCAGCAGTGCCACCCACCTGTGCCTAGCAGTGCCACCCATTAGTGTCACCCATCAGTGCTGTCCAGCAGTGTTGCCCATCAGTGCTCAGCAGTGCCATCAGTCAGTGCCACCCATCAGTGCTATCAGTGCCCATCAGTTCCGCCTATCAGTGCAGCATAATCAGTACGTGCCCATCAGTGCTGCCTATCCGTGCCACCTCATCAGTGCTGCCTATCCATGCCACCTCATCAGTGCTGCCTATGAGTGCCCATTAGTGCTGCCTATCAGTGGAGCCTCATCAACGCACATCAGTAAAGGAAAAAAATTACATGTTTGCAAAATTTTATAATAGAAACAAAGAAAAACTTTTTTTTTCACATTTTTTGCTATTTTTTTGTTTATAGTGCAAAAAATAAAACACCCATTGGTGATTAAATACCAGCAAAAGAAAGCTATATTTGTGTGAAAAAAAATGATAAAATCTCCATATGGGTACAATGTTGCATGACCACGCAATTGTCATTCAAAGTGTGACAGCGCTGAAAGCTGAAAATTGGCCTGGGCAGGAAGGGGGTATAAGTGCCCGGTAGGCAAGTGGTTAAAGTGACAGTAGTTAGAAATACTTGAATTTGTTGCACATGTCAGTATTGTTACCAATTCTAGTGTAAATGTTTGCCCAAATTAGGCACAGGTAGTTCTAAAGCAGCGGTTCTCAACCTGGGGGTCGCGACCCCTTTGGGGGTCGAACGACCATTTCCCAGGGGTCGCCTAAGACCATCGGAAAACACATATTTCCGATGGTCTTAGGAACCGAGACACCGCTGCTCTGTCTCGCGATCTGTGGGCGGGATGATATGCTGCCCCTGTAACCTGGCCACACCTCCGGGATCACTCAACAGCTCCACCTCCTCGCCGCTGATTGGCCACCGGATCTGTAGCTCAGGAGAGGCACACAGGCGGCCAATCACCGGCGAGGAGGTGGAGCTTGGAGAGGAGGAGCCGAGCGGCAGAGCGCGCAGATCGAAGAAGATCGAGGGAGCTGCAGGACCGAGTGAAGAGGAGAGCGGCCAGAGAAGGAAGACAGCTGACAGGTAAGTGCAAATTTTGCTTCTGCAGGCTGTAGATGGGAGAGGGAGAGAGCGAGCCCAGGCTGGAGCAGGGGTCAGCAAGGTAAGTATCATTGGTGTCAGTGGGAGGAATAGTGCCCCATCATTTGTGTCACTAATACCAACGATGGGGCACTATTCCTCCCCCCACTGACACCAACGATGGGGCACTATTCCTCCCCCCACTGACACCAATGATAGGCACTATTCCTCCCCCCACTGACAGCAACGATGGGGCACTATTCCTCCCACTGACACCAACGATGGGGCACTATTCCTCCCACTGACACCAACGATGGGGCACTATTCCTCCCACTGACACCAACGATGGGGCACTATTCCTCCCCCCACTGACACCAACGATGGGGCACTATTCCTCCCCCCACTGACACCAACGATGGGGCACTATTCCTCCCCCCACTGACACCAACGATGGGGCACTATTCCTCCCCCCACTGACACCAACGATGGGGCACTATTCCTCCCCCCACTGACACCAACGATGGGGCACTATTCCTCCCCCCACTGACACCAATGATAGGCACTATTCCTCCCCCCACTGACACCAACGATGCGGCACTATTCCTCCCACTGACACCAACGATGGGGCACTATTCCTCCCACTGGCACCAATGATAGGCACTATTCCTCCCCCCACTGACACCAATGATAGGCACTATTCCTCCCCCCACTGACACCAACGATAGGCACTATTCCTCCCCCCACTGACACCAACGATGGGGCACTATTCCTCCCCCCACTGACACCAACGATGGGGCACTATTCCTCCCCCCACTGACACCAACGATGGGGCACTATTCCTCCCCCCCATTGACACCAACGATGGGGCACTATTCCTCCCCCCACTGACACCAACGATGGGGCACTATTCCTCCCCCCACTGACACCAATGATAGGCACTATTCCTCCCCCCACTGACACCAACGATGGGGCACTATTCCTCCCCCCACTGACACCAATGATAGGCACTATTCCTCCCACTGACACCAATGATGGGGCACTATTCCTCCCACTGATACCAATGATGGGGCACTATTCCTCCCACTGATACCAATGATGGGGCACTATTCCTCCCACTGATACCAATGATGGGGCACTATTCCTCCCACTGACACCAATGATGGGGCACTATTCCTCCCACTGATACCAATGATGGGGCACTATTCCTCCCACTGACACCAATGATGGGGCACTATTCCTCCCACTGACACCAATGATGGGGCACTATTCCTCCCACTGACACCAATGATGGGGCACTATTCCTCCCACTGACACCAATGATGGGGCACTATTCCTCCCACTGACACCAATGATGGGGCACTATTCCTCCCACTGACACCAATGATGGGACACTATTCCTCCCACTGATACCAATGATGGGGCACTATTCCTCCCACTGACACCAATGATGGGACACTATTCCTCCCACTGACACCAATGATGGAGCACTATTCCCCCCACTGACACCAATGATGGGGCACTATTCCTCCCACTGACACCAATGATGGGGCACTATTCCTCCCACTGATACCAATGATGGGGCACTATTCCTCCCACTGACACCAACGATGGGGCACTATTCCTCCCACAGATACCAACGATGGGACACTATTCCTCCCACTGACATCAGTGATGGGGCGCTAGTTCTCCCACTGATACCAATGATGGGGCACTATTCCTCCCACTGATACCAATGATGGGGCACTATTCCTCCCACTGACACCAATGGCGGGACACTATTCCTCCCACTGATACCAACGATGGGACACTATTCCTCCCACTGACATCAGTGATGGGGCACTATTCCTCCCACTGATACCAACGATGGGGCACTATTCCTCCCACTGACACCAATGATGGGGCACTATTCCTCCCACTGATACCAATGATGGGGCACTATTCCTCCCACTGACACCAATGATGGGACACTATTCCTCCCACTGATACCAATGATGGGGCACTATTCCTCCCACTGATACCAATGATGGGGCACTATTCCTCCCACTGCAAAATTACAGTTCTGAAGTAGCAACGAAAATAATTTTATGGTTGGGGGTCACCACAACATGAGGAACTGTATTAAGGGGTCGCGGCGTTAGAAAGGTTGAGAACCACTGTTCTAAAGGAAACTATTACAAGAAAAGTGCTCATTGGTATTGTACTTGTCTGTATGAATGTAATGTAGGTAAATATGTAATGTAAGTAAATATGCTGTGAAGTATTTAGTATGGCAGTTGAACATTTTTAGAAATGTACTATTTGTCTTAAATGCATGTGTTATAGGTGGCCATGGTAGAGATGGTATGGTACTTATTGTACTTACCAAAAATGAATGAACTCCATTAACTGCTTAGCATGGTGTCTTGGGGAGTGAGTCACCATTTGTCATGATAGCATCTGTCATTTTTTTTTTAAATATATTGTATTTAATTTCATTGATATTTCGTTTTTTCAACCTTTTTATACCTTTGAGTGAGTGCTTTTAAAACGATTGTATATGCTGCAGACCTTTATTAATAAAGAGACAAAAAAAGTTTTGGCCTTGGGGCTTGTATAACACTCAACATGTTGTGACTTTGACTTATTCAGAAAATGTTTTGAAGCTTGTTGTATGGTAGCAAGTGTCTTGCCAGCTATGCCATCAACACAAGTAAAAGTTGCCCCGAATTAGACAAAGTTTGCTCTTGCAAAGTTTGAAGGTTTGATAAATTGATACGACAGCTCATCCCTGATGCCCACCTGTTTAATCAGCGTTACAGCATGTTCACCTCCTCAAGAAAAATTTCTGTCTTAATTGTTCAGGCGAGATCTGCTCTGAGTATTCCTTCCAGAGGCTGAGGCCATTACCACTATCCTCTTCAGCCTAATTTATGCAAACCTGACACTTTCAATAAATTGCTTCCTTCAGATTTGGCTGTTTTGAATGAATTTTTATTTCTATGGCAGTAAAGATGAGTTTCATTTAGTAGGAAATTGGATCCCCGGTGATTGACAGACAAATCTGAATGCCATCTTCTATAGGGGCACATTTAGTTTGCAAACTCCAAAAAAATAAGTAGCAACATTTACTTTGAAAAGGATTGTTATATTTATTGAGTGAATCGGTCTAGAAATTAATTATGCTGCATGTTTCATCTGTATTCTCTTTCGACATAGAAAGCTCTATTAAGATGGAGGATGCAATTAATACACGCCTGGATGTAGTTTAATCAGATGAGCATAAGTCAGGTTTATGGGCTTGTACACTGGAAAAGTGGCAGCAATGTGCTTTCCGCTTTGCAGAAACAGCAATCATAAATTATTAGCATCCATCTAAAATGCAGCACACATACATTTTTCTTTTGAGGTGAGCACTTCATACCAAATCTCCAGATGTCCATTTAGAACAGTTACGTACATGCTTTTTTTGAAACAAATAATTTTATATCCAGATAGACCCGCCTGTCAATCTGCTGATTCTCACCTGAGGCGTGTTTAGCTTCTTTCTTATTCTAGTGAATCTCCATATTAGAATATGGTTGAGGATTTAGTCCAAAACATATAAACTGTGCTTGCAGTGTAAATCTTCATTAAATGAAATATGCTGGGGGGTTTTAAATATTTTTTTCTTGGTCTTTTCTTTTATTGTTTCTTCCTTTGCCTTTTAACTTTTTTCCTTCTACAGAAGTTGGAGCTCTGTGCACATTTTGTACTCTGTGAAGTCTCATAATTATAGTTATGGTCCTAAAAATAGGATTTGGATTCATTTGAGGAGAGACATACACCCTTCCTCCACTGAAAGACGCAGTGCCCTACAATTAGAAAAATAAATTCAAAACAGCTCTAGTGACACTTGTCTGGTGGTAATTCCCTTAAGAATTACTTGTGTCCATGGCCGGATCTAGCCTTTTTGAGGATGCAGTAAAAGAAAGTCTAG